CCCCAAAACCCCAAAACCCCAAAACCCCTTAGTGCAAAACATTGTAAATTCCTGCAATATATTACTAAATTAATATATATATATTTTTGTGGGAATTCAGAAACAAAAACATGCCAAATAAAAGAAGAAAAAGAACTCATCCAAACCTACAATCAGATGTACCTAAAACTGATAGAACCTAATCTGAGGAATCTTCAGAGCCAGAGTACGAAGTAGATCACATTGAGGGATACAAAGTGAAAATGAAGTCAAAAACTATAGACTTTTTTGTGAGATGGAAAGGATATGGGCCAGAGGATAATACATGGCAAGACTTCAACACTTTTTCTCATGACGCTCCTCATATTGTAGAAAAGTATCTGATTGAAGAAGTATTCAAGAAATTTAAGATTCCTTTAAGTAATGAGAGCTAAGAAGAAAGCAAAGATCACACTGTTAAGCCAAACACTAACTCATCTTCTATTGTAGGAAAGCAAATAAGCGATGACAAAAAGTAACTAGAAATTCCCTTAGATCCCAAACAGCAAATTAGGATTATCTCATAATTGTAATTATTTTGAAGTTATCATTTTAATTAGCGAGTATGGACAAGAACAGCCAAGTATTGGGTTTTTATGTGAATTCACAGATACTGTTACAAAAGAGTCTAGGAGAGAGCTGATTAAAGAGGATGAACTTCTTGAGACACATAGTAAGGAAATGTATAAATTCCTTAAATCTACTCTGAGGTTCGAACAGAAGGTTTCAGTCAAAAAATCTTAATTAATGTCTCCTAATTTTGAACAATATATTGACAGCCTTAGCAATAGCTTAGCAAAAGATTAAACAGAAAGCTCACAAACATTAAATCAAGTGGATGCAAGTAATGAGAAAAGAGTTAACAATCATGTGACTCCAAATGGCGTTGATTTAAATTCTTAAGAAGAGAACAACTCACAGAACTAATCAAATGTAGATAATAGTAAGAGAGTCAAAAGATCAAGAGGAGGGAATTCTCAACCAAAGCAATGATTATGAGAATAAGTACTGAGAATAACTAATTTTTGTGTCAATAGACAAATCATAGAATAATATTTGATTATTAGCTTTATATTCTTAATTTATAGTTAGCTTATATTTTATTGAACTTATATTAATATTAAACAAACTATTAGTGAAATATCATCTCCAAAGAGCAGTAGGTCCTTTTTTACCTCCCTTTTTTCCTTTGTCACCACCGTCATTTTAGCTTTCATCGATAATTACTGTAAAGTTGCCAACCTACTTATCCTTGCACATGTTCGCACCATGTTTAGAGTTCTCGTCCATCCATTCAGGAGGTACTACTATATTGAACACATCATTAAGTAAATTCATCTTCAAAATTCTATCAACTTCTGTTGTAGTAGTCAGAGAAGGGGATGCATTGACTTCTACTAGCCAAGGCTTTAAGTTCGCATCAATCAGAATATCATAACCATAGCACTCAAAGCAATGTTTATCATTAATTATCACACTTTAAACACTCTTCAAAGAGATGTAGATGATATTATTGATTTCATCAAAACACTTGTCAGTTATAGTCTTTCCTCTAGTTTATTCCAAATAGAATCTTAGATTTGTGATACTCCATTTTGAACCATGCTTTTCATTATAATCCTCTGAATTTTTCTAGATTGCCACATTAGTCAAATGTATGAACATATTATCGAGCTCAGCAATATCAGGAGTATACTTCTCATTACAAAATCTTCCGAATCCTAAAGAATACCTATAATAATTAGAATATATCGGAATTACAGCCAAACTTTAAGAGGTCTATAACTAGTTACGAGAACATAAATTCTTAGATCGAATTTTTTACCTCCAATCAGCAAGGGATTATCGATATATCTAGAGATGACATAGGCTTCTTTCAGCGATAAAGTTTGGAAGGGCAGTTTGGATGAGGTAGCCCACTTCTTAAGCTGATTCAGCTTATTAACCAAGAAGATACCTTTACCTTAAGCTTTAGAAGAAGGTTTCATAATCCACATAATATTTGGGTTTCTTCTGAATTCCTCTACAAATATTGTATAATCTCCTGGAAGAATATATGTATTCGGTACAATATCCATATAAATGTAATTTCCCTGCTCATCCTTCTCAGCTATAGGATTATTTTCCTTTTCCATATCCTTCCTGTACCTCTTAATATTTTTCACCATTAAATCTTTTCTTGTGAGTTCATAATGATTTGGGAAATGATTCAAAAGTCTAAAATTTTTGAATTAAGTGATTGAATTTCATACTGCATTTCTCCAAGACGATGCCCTGTTTCAGGATTGAAAATTTATTTGACTGTCCAAACATTTGCCCAAAATATGTTCCAATCATCTAGAACAATATAAACTTATTATCCTTACCATCACCTTAGCATTTTTGCCAACCTCGTTTTTCAAAGTTTTGGATGATAACTTGTTTATCCAGGTCAGTCTTCCACTTGAGCTTAGTTGTAGTTACCATTTCAAAATTTAAATAATTAATTATTTTAAATTTGAAGTGGCTTTAGTAAATTAATACCTTTGCAATTATTGTGTTTTGTGTGTGATAATTAATATTTATATAATTAAAAATGTTCTCAAAGCAACTTAAACATCTTTCTAATACATCTTTTACTTTCAACAAGGTTGCTCTTCTCTCCAATAATTCTTAGAGATTAGCATCCACTTTTGTGAGCTCATAGCCAGGATTTGATGTTAGAAATTACCAATTACCAAAACAAAGCCAGCAACTAATAGTTGAGAGACCCTGGTCCACTAAACCATTTAACCCAGTTGATGCTCTTTAAATTCCAGTATTTGATTTCAAAACAGGGCAGTTTACAGGGGAATTATGTAATCTTGACTAAGATATCTTTAATGTTCCTTTAAGAAGAGATATTGTGCACAGAGTTTATCAATACTTCATGGACAATGGCAGAAGAACCTACAAAACAGTGAAAACTAGAGGAGATGTGTCTGGTTCAGGAATGAAAATGAGACCCTAGAAGAAGAGTGGTAGAGCAAGACAAGGTGATAAAAGAGCTCCTCATTTAAAGAAAGGAGGTAAACCCCATGGTTCAGTTCCCATGGATTATACATTTCCAATTAATGAAAAGCTCAGACTTCTAGCCCTTAAGACTATATTATCAGCAAGATTGTACGAGGACAAATTGGTTCTGATTGATAATGAAAAATTAGAATACCCAAAGACTAAGTACTTAGATGAAATTCTATCACCATACAGGAATGATAGAATACTATTCTTAACACCATTCGAAATGGATCCTCACTTTAAGTTTGCCTCTTAAAATATTGAGACATTGAATGTAATGAACCCTTAATAAATCAATGTTAAGCCAATTATATAAAATGACTGGATTTTCGCCACTAAGTAAAGTCTTCAAGAACTAGAAATGATAATTGAGTGTAGAGATGATAACTTATTCAGAAATAGGAAAATCCCAAGAGAATCCTTAGCATATGATACTTTACTGCCAAATCATGTAGCAAGATAAGAGAGAAAGCGTGATAGATTTGATGAAGATATTATAAGGTCAATTCTTGAAAGAGAAGACTTTGCAGAAATAGAGGACAAACCATTGTAGATAGTAACGGAATCACTAAAAGGTTATATCCAAGATCTAAAGGAATTGCAAGATAATAAACAATCAAGTCAGGCAAGCCTTTGAAATTAGATAACTTTACTTTATTTAAACTATCTATATTCATTCCTATTAGAGCTTAAAGTTTAATTAATTTCTATGTACGGGGTTTTGGGGTTTTGGGGTTTTGGGG